GTACGCAAGTTTCTGGGCTCAAATTGTGCGTACGCCAGTTTTATAAATCCGACCCCTGAACACTTAAATTCAATGAAAGCATGGAAAGAGTTGGCAGTAAGGATCAAAAAAGAGGCAACAATTGATAAACATGAGATGGCACTTTTTGAGGCTGAGAGATTAAGATGGAGAGCTGTGTTGAAACGTCTCACTGCTATCATACAGTCTCTAGCAGTTAGAAATTTGTCACTTAGGGGACACACAGAAACATTGTTTTCACCATCAAATGGCAATTTTTTGAAAGAGGTTGAACTGATGGCAAAATTTGACCCTATAATGAAAGAACACCTGAATCGTGTTGAGAAAGGCACCTGCAGTCATAACAGTTACCTTGGTCACCACATACAGAATGAGCTCATTGGTTTGTTGAGCAGCAAAACAATTTCAACAATTGTTAATGACATTAAACAGGCAAAGTATTTCTCAATAATTCTAGATTGCACTCCAGATATCAGCCACACTGAACAGTTGTCTGTTGTGATTCGAATTGTTTCACTAATGGAGAAGCCCAGATTTTATATTTTATACGGTGAAGTTTCACAGTATTACAGTTTTTTGTGTTTTTTTATATGTTTGCTCATAGTAAATAAAAATCCAAATTACATTCTGAGTGAGTGTCAATGCTAATATGCGGGGGGGGCGCTGGGGGTTGTTCGCCCAGGGCGCCAAATAGGCTAGGACCGCCCCTGCTTATCAGGGTCAGATTGCTACAGACCAAAGCATTTCTTTTACACACATGAATGACTATTATTATCAAATATTTCAGGTTCAACTAGTGTCATCAATACAACTTTGAATACTATTTTTAAAAATGAAAAATCATGTCACAAACATGTAATGATTCTTTTCTTTCTCTTTGGTTTATAACTAATCACAAAAGATTAAAACAGACCAGCATCAGCTTGATTTCACCAAGGACATGTCTAATGGAAAGCCAGATCAAAGTTTGACTCAAAGAAAGCTTTTTAAAGAACAGAGTTCAGTTCAGTTTGAAGACATGACCTGTAGAGTCAAGAGGTCATGTTGGAAGAGAGGTCCTTTGTGTTGTTTCATAACAGGGTTGTTTTTCTGTTTATTGAATTTATTGGGAAAACTGCTCCTCCAAAGAGGGCCTCCATTGCAGTAAATTCCTCCTCCATATTCAGCACAACACAGAAAAGATCAGGTTACACGTTAAAAGACTACTTTTTTGCTATTTTCATTAAAATGTACAAAATGGTTAATAATTTAACATATGGACATACAAACATACATACAAATACAGAAACTTGCAGGCAGAAGTACCTCCTAAATGTTTTTCAGCTCTGAGTCGTGTGACCTGTTGCTACTCAGGGTCCAACACTGAGCAGGAAACACAGCTAAGGCCTCAGACAGCGAGTGCAGCTGATGGAAACACACTCTGCAGAATCACAAGCTCAGCGCTCAGCGTGGAGTTCAGGAACAGATAGCTGTAATCCCATTTTCCCAGCAGGCGAGCCAACATGCCTGTCTGTGGCACTTAGAGATAAACATCATGGTGCACTCTAGGTGACCTGGTACACACCTGCTGAGGCACGCTCTCTGACACACACACACACACACACACACACACACACACACACACACACACAC